CGAAAAAGGGCCCGGATCGCTCCCTGCCGCCCACACATGGCGACGAGGATGGGATCAGGAGAGGGCCTGCACACCTGCCTCACTGGGGGAGCATCGATCTTCCCTCTCTGCCCCTGCCCCTTCCCCTCCACAGACTGACCTGCAGGACATTACTCTCCATGCTGCCCAGCTGCATTCCTGTAAATCGGTTATCAGGTGGGTATCAGCCAACATGCCTGGTGAATAATTAGCTATCAGTATAGGCCAAGAAAATCTTTACTGGCACCCCTAAATAAAATACCCACAAAAATATTTGCCTCTTCATTATTTCTAACACCATCACAGCTACAACATTGCTTAAGTAGTAGCATCCGTTATAGAAAATTCTTGCAACCTTTTCTTATAAGAAATTCTAACACTTCCATTACTGCATCAGGTCTCTGAAATTTAGTGTCTTGGTTAGAAAGAGACTTGCCTTTTTAGCATCCTATGAAGTTCTATTCAAGTTTAGCTGAGTTAGGCTATTAAAACAATTGTCATTTCCTGCCTCATTTATATTTCTACGTGAAACTTTGGAAACAAGCCAAAATAATAACTGAACATGATCATTCTAGAAATCCAGACCTTTACAGCTGCCAAAAGGAATACATTAGAGCGACAAAGTGCAACTGCTAGGGAAGTGGCAGGCCAGGAAGGAGAAAGACACAGCCCAACTAAAATCTCACCATATGGCACACATTCAGTTCCATACCACAGAATTGGTTGCTTTGATAAAATGAAAATTTCAACGTTCCTTAAAGAGACTAAAGTCATTTAGTAGTTTTAATTACAAGCCAAGAAAAAAAGAGGTCTTATAAGTTACTGAGAATGCATAAATGAACATCCAAAAGATGTGAAGTACCAGATTTATAGTTGTCCAGGTGGCCTTACTTTGTATACACAAGAGACAATGCTGTAATTTCAATCCTGAACACAACAAGTTTAGCACCACTTATACCAATAAGGAAGTGGACAGACATAAAAGTGGTATCAAAACCGATTAATACCACTGTAACTAAAACGATGGTTGATAGACAGATGAAAATGATACAAACACATTATTTGTTCCATAACACTCCTGCCTCACTCAAACAGGATGGAGTTCTGAAAATGCATAGTCAACCATAAACGTTATTTCCCAATTTTCAAATACTTTTTATAAACTATGTATGCTTTCCTTTAACTTTATTTTTCTAGAATACATATAGTGATAACTTAACATTGAATAGCCCAGGGGTAAGCAACTCCTGCCATGGGTGCCAGAGCGTGGCAAGCGAAGGCATTTTGCTTGGCATACGTGCCTGAAGGCAGACGGCAGGCAAGGGGCCGGGGCTGCACTGCCACAACAACGAATGGGCCCCTTGTGCCTCCCCTGCCATCCAACTCTTGCACGCCAACATTTTTCAAGTTGAGGTTGTGGGTAATTTTGGCACTCTGCCCAAAAATGTTGCTAACCCTTGGAATAGCCAATATTTAAGTTACATTTTCACTTGATTTTACAACCTCAAGTTTTCATTAATATAATTAATTTGTCATGGAAAATGTTACCTATAAGCAAAGGATTAAGGGCAGAGACACATGGATAGGAGAACAGAACAACCACTCACTTTCTGACCTCACAATCTTCGTTCTCAAGGGTACTATACAAAACACCTTCAGAAGATGGGCCTGAGAATAAAAATTCATAACTTTACTGGACACTAAAAACTAAGGACTAAATAGACATTTACTTTACACCCCAATACAATCTACCTTCTAGTGCCTTTGCACTTCAAGGGTGGTAACTCTCTCGATTGGTCTTGCTCTTCTACTTAGTTATCCTTCCTATTGTATTTCTCTTATCTTTTAGCAGATCCCGATACGGTACCTTTGTTTTGGGTTTTTTTGTTTTGTTTTTGGGGTTGTTGTTTTTTTTTAAATAAAGCCCTGCTCCATTTCTTTAAGCAAAATGTTTTTATTTACATATGGAGTTTTACACAGGCTGTTGGTCTATCTGTAATTAGCTCGTGTCTGCTGCTTTTTCGGAATTTGTTTAGATAGGAATGAGCTTCTGTTGGTAATAACCTACTTCATCAGATGCTATAAACAAACTGGCAGAAAGGAGAGATTTTAGACAGAGTGGAAAGGGAGAGGGGAGGGGACATTGCTGAAAAGGTAATACAGCAGTGGATAAAATGAACTGAGATGAACAAGCTAGTTAACACCTTGAGGAACACTGGATTTAACAGCCAGTCTACCTAAAAGGATAAGAATCCATAGCCCCTGTTGAGACCATGGTTAATACAATCCAGTCTGTGGATAATTTCTTGTTCTGCAATTTCACACTGAAGTTTCGTGTGTGTTTGTGGGGGGGAGGTGGGGGTTAATAGATTTTGTTTAAGGACAGCTACTCTGAGGTCAGTAATGAAGTGTCCAAAGAGGTTAACATGTTCTGCCATGGGCTTCTATGTTTCTGGAATTGAAGTCAAATTGGCGCCCATTTATTCTTTTTATATTTCAAAGTAAAGGATAACTAAAAAGAAAGTATTTCCCAAAGGATGCAATTAAAAGTATTATCAGCGATGCTGATTAAGTATAGCTTGGAACAGGAAATGTTTCTATACTAGGGGTAGGCAACCCCTGGCACTGGTGACAGAGCGCGACACGTGAAGGCATTTTGCTTGGCATGTGTGCCTCAGGCAGGACAGCGGAGAAGGGGCCAGGACTGCACAACCACAGCAAGGATCGGGACCCTCACGGCACCCCCGTTGTCTGCCCCGGCACACCAACATCTTACAAGTTGAGGTTGCGGTTGTTTTTCACGTTCTGCCTAAAAATGTTGCCAACCTCTGTTCTATACATTTAAAGATGGATTTAACAAAAATAAGAAACATGAACTCCAATTAAAATACTTGGTAGTTTATCTTGAAATAAGGATAAAAAAAGGCTTCAAGAGGACATGCCTGCAGACTATAGTATGGTAAACTCTGAATCAACTTGAATGGGGACAGAAAAAAATCCCCCTTCCTCCCAACCACACAGATTTAGCTTAGCAAAGGGAAGGCTTATAGTGAGACCTTTTTAAAAATAACTCATGACATCTTAAAAGAAACAAAAAGATTTGTGTATTTTATTAAACAGACTCTTAAATGTTTGAAATCAAACATGCATTTATATTGTTGAACTCATTTATACTGTTGAACCTGTACATGTTGAACTCATTAGAATAGAGTTTCTATAAAAATAAGAGCTTTCTTAAATAAAAACTAATGCTCATTTGGGAGGGGGGAGGGAAGGGTGGACTATAGACTGGATACCAAATTATGATATCTTAAATTATTTGTATAACATACCAAACACACTTAGAGGGAAAAAAGTGTGGAAGAATCTCCAAGCAAACAAATTAACCTAAAATATTATTCTGGCAGTAGGTCAAAGAGTTAAGCTTAGCGAACCCTGAAGCTCTCTCAGGCCTTTGATGGCTTATTGTTCGAAAACTAAAATACCAACCATTAAGCATTAGATAACATATTTACCAAATTAAATGCAATGAAGCTGCTATACTACACACAGAAGAGAAAGAATTAAAAAACAGGTCAAGTCGTAAATGGAAATTTCATGTAGCAGCCAAAGCCAACCGAGTGTTTGTACAGCTCACAAAATTTTCCTAATGAAGTAATTTTTTAGGCAAACAACTTCTCTATGGATGAAGAAGAAATTTTTAACAGCAGAACTCTTACCATAGTGAGGGAAGTATTTGCTGACATTAAGTTTTAGTTCTCTCTCACATTTCAGTTTAGGAAATTTTTTTTTGGAGAAGGGGGAGTATTATGGCAAGAATATTATTTGTTTGTACAAATTATTTCTGAAAATAAATTTAGCCTAGGTGATATTGTACACAATGTGGCCTTGCTGTATTTTGGGGGGGGGGGGAAACAGACACACTTTTTAACATGAAGTTTGTCTTTGGATGAAGTAGAACTTTCTGATTACAAAAACATTTAGACTTTTAAAGCAGCCCATCAATAACAAAAGCATCTGAAGCATTTAAAAGGGTGTAGGTTGAAGCTGTGCTGGTCTAAGGACATAGGCAGACAATGTTATTTGGGTATTGGATTTACCCAGAGCCTTGTCTGCTGAAGGATTTAAATGCGTTTTACACACTATCTTACTGAAGTTATAGTACTACAGAAGTATTTCATTAATACTATCAAGTGTTTACTTTTGCTCATAATGACAGGAGCACCCTCACCTGTGCTACATGTTTTTATCAGTCAAACATTTCTGCATGCTAATCTACTATGAATAGGCAGCTTAAAAAAAAACAGTAAATGGAAGTTAACTGTCTGTCTGTAACAGATGCACAGTTGATGCTTCCTGTACATTCTCACTGATAGCTGTTTTAAAATACGCTTAGTACTACAGATTTAGTTCAGACCATTTAATTCCACATTCTTTCAAGCTCTGGGCAGGGTTTAAGAGGTGGAGAAACAAGAGTCTAGGAAAGTGGTTCAAACCTGCAGAGATGCTATAGCACCAGTTGTGGCACCACTGTGGGATGATATTGCCCTACATGCCTGTTTCTGGGAGACACCATGCAGGGTCAGCCTGGGAAGGGCTGCAGCAAGAGCATGAGCTTCTGCCACAGCCGCTTCCCAATCTGGCTGTGCAGGAGCTGCACGGTGCGGTCCCACCTGGCTGTCCCAGAAGCAGTACCATGAATATATTTATAATGATCTAATAAATTACAAACATGTCAATTACTATCATCATAACAAATTTATAATATGCTTAATATTTTAAGTTAGGGATGTTTTTTTAATAAATGGGGTGCCACTATATTTCAAAATACTTAAGAGGGCTGCCTTAAGTCCAAAAGCATGTGCTCCAGCAGGATAACAGTTACCAAAAGGGAACAATTTTCTTTAGAACAAGAACAATTCGGACCTGCAATCCATTTCAGGATATGGCAGTTGTGCAAAGAGTCTTCAAATGGCACCTACCCTCACAAGGAGCAAAGAAAAAGGCCACCCAACCTCCTGTCTGGAAACAGCTTCAACGCCAAACAGAAGATAGTAGGTAACAGAGCCCTTCTCTGCCTTTCGGCTAAGATCAAATGCGACTGAAGGCATCTGAACTCCCCGCCTGGCCTCCGGGCCTGGGACTTGGATGCCCGCCTGGATGTGGCGTATCTGACCTGCCTGGGGTCTTGGAGGGAATACTGGCCCAGTCCTAGTTTTATGACCTGTGGAGCTTTGAAGACACCACTGAGCTTTGCTCAATTGGATGTGGAACCCAATTGACACTTGCATTGAATTAAAAAAACAAAAAAGATTGTGCTTTTAAGGTAACTGGGCTTCAACCCAGCCTCCAACTGGGGGGGGGGGAGGACACCCC